AATCAAACAGGCTTGGGCCAACTGTAATATGTCGGTCAAAGAAGAGGTCACCATAAATGATTTATTTAATTTCCTTTTTGCTCATTGTGATACTTTGGAGTCTTGTCAGGAGTTACACGTAATACAACCGTCAAGACCAGCCCAGAGTAAACGCCGCCAAGTTGCCTATCATGCAAGTGGATCAAATCAGCAGTCCCGCGAATGTATTTATTGTCAAGGTCAGCACAATATATATGCATGTGCTGAATTCAAAGCTCTAGATGTACTAGACCGCCGCACCTTCGCCAGGGATACTAAACTATGTTTCAATTGCCTGAGTCGATCTCATCAAGTCAGGGATTGTAACTCATCGAACACTTGTCGTCAGTGCAATGCTAAGCACCACACTTTAGTTCATCCGGTTGAATCAAGATCGGTTCCTTTGGCTCCTGCTCATCTGTCTACTGCTGAATTCAATACGATTGATCAAGTTGCTGATACTGCCGCTGTTAGTCATCACACTCTGGAGAGGGCTAACAATCAAACCATACTGCCAACTATTCTGGCCACTGTAATCGACACATGGGGCAACAGGACCACATGTCGGTTATTGCTCGATACTGGATCGACAATAACTATGGTAGCCGAGTCGTTCATCCAAAGGATAGGAATTTCACGCACGCATGCTCGCATCTCAGTGGCTGGATTAGGTGCTAACCCGGCTGGTGTTAGCCGAGGACGTGCCAGCTTTACCCTGCTCTCAAGAACCACTACTGCAACCCTGGAGATCTCTGGTCTAATTATGAGTTCTCTGACTTCTTTGATTCCAGGTCAACAGGTTAAGACCAGCTCTCCTATCTGGAAAACGATTTGCAGTCTTCCATTGGCTGATCCAACGTTTGGAGCTCCGGGAAAAATCGACTTTATTCTGGGCGCTGATCAACTGTGGAGCATATATACTGGAAATCGTCGAGAGTTTGGTATTGAATACCCCATCGCACTACAAACTAATTTTGGTTGGGTTATTACAGGCAGCTTCAACGATTGCACCGAATCATGGACGCACGCACAAGCCCACCACGCATACGAAGATTTGGATTCGTTAGTTCGATCATTCATGGATATGGAACAAGTTCATCCAAGTAAAGCAACGATAGACTCCAGTGATCCTGCAGAACAACACTTTCTATGCTGGACTATGCTGGAAACCAAGAACTGACTATATCTCCTTCAAGTTAGAAACCCCTAGAATCACAGCAACTTTAACCAAACGCACTTTGCTCTCTGAACTAGCCAAGATCTACGATCCGCTGGGTTTGATTGCGCCCACAACTGTGTTGTTGAAGATTCTCTTTCAAGATAGCTGGCTGAGTTCTGTCGAATGGAATGAGATATTGCCTTCGCAATTATGCACACGGTGGCAACAGTTCGTATTTCAAATGCACGTATTGGAAAATTGTCGAGTGCCTCGTTACATAGCAGCGCCACACCAATCAATTGAACTGCATGGATTTGCGGATGCCTCATCTCAGGCATATGCAGCCGTCATCTATAGTCGCGTCGAGGTCAATAATGGATATGCAGTGAAGCTGATAATGGCAAAAACTCGCGTGGCTCCTATTAAGCCTATTTCCATTCCTCGACTTGAGCTAAACGCAGCCCACTTACTCTCGAAATTGATTTCACTGGTTAAGCAATCACTAACTATTCCTATTTCCAGAATCAATTGTTGGTCAGACTCTGAAATAGTCTTACATTGGCTATCATCATCTCCACGGACTTGGAACACATATGTTTGCAATCGCACTGCTGAGATTCTGGAGGCATGTCCACGAAGCTGCTGGCAGCATATTAGAAGTGGCGATAATCCAGCTGACTGCGCATCGCGAGGACTATTTCCAAGGGACCTCGTTGATCATAAAATCTGGTGGAATGGACCAGCTTGGTTATCTCAGTCACGTTCAACTTGGCCACCCGTTAAGGCCAAGTTTGTTTTGTCGACAGAAGAACAGGCATGCTTAGAGGTAAAGGCCGAGCCAAAGGTTAATCTACACATTTCCGATGACGAAAATGAGCTTACCTGTATGATCAACAAAGCCTCCTCATGGTCTCGTTTATTGAGGACTCTGAGCTACTGCATTCGTTTCGTCCATCGTCTTCGTAGAAGGAATCAACTTTCGGTGTTCCTGTCGGCGTGGGAACTACAATACGCACGATCTAGAATATTCACCCACGTCCAGAAGGAGTTTTTTAAAATGGAATACAAGCAGTTGATCACCGAACAGCCATTGTCAAAGAAATCTAAGTTGATTCGATACAACCCCTTTATAGACGAGCAGAACGTAATGCGTGTTGGTGGTCGCATAGACAATTCTATAGCTAATTATGATGCAAAACATCCCATAATTCTGCCTAAGGAATCTCCCATTGCTGCTCTACTTGTTCGATATCAACATGCTGCCTCGCTACACGCTGGATTAGAATACACTTTTCACAGTTTACGACAACGATATTGGATTCTAGGAGCCCGAAACCTCGTCCGCAAAACCATATTTAATTGCAGAACTTGCTTCATGCAGCGAAGACACACGAGTTCTCAACTTATGGCTGATTTGCCCAACTTCCGAGTTCAACCCGCCCGTTGTTTTCTTCACACTGGTTTGGATTATGCTGGACCTGTAATAATCAAAGTATCTACAGGTCGAACACCAAGATTTGGAAAGGCTTGGTTTGCAATTTTCGTTTGTCTATGTACAAAAGCTATACATATTGAATTGGTCAGTGATTTGACAACATCCGCTTTTTTAGCCGCCTTTAAACGATTTTGGGCTCGACGTGGGCCAATATCAGATTTATATTCGGACAATGGCACTACGTTTCATGGGGCTAAACGAGAATTAGATGAGATGCAACGGATCGCAATTGCCCAAAGTCAAAATGAAGAGATTTCAAGCTTCTTCTCGACTCATGAAATTAATTGGCATTTCATCCCGCCTTCTGCACCCCATTTTGGAGGGATTTGGGAAACTGGAGTGCGATCTATAAAGCTGCACCTAAAACGAGTTACTGGCAGCAGTGCATTAACATTCGAGGAATATTCGACCCTGTTAATTCAGATAGAAGGACTTCTGAATTCTCGTCCTTTGTGCGCACCCAGCGATCACAGCCTTAACCCGCTAACCCCTTCTCATTTTCTAACAGGTCAGCCTCTTACTTCGGTACCGGAGCCATCTTACATGGATGCACACATTGACAGACTGCAGCGCTGGAGACAATTGCAGGCCAAGGTTCAAGGGTTCTGGAAACGCTGGAACTTAGAGTATCTCAGCACTCTTCAAACTCGCACGAAATGGCAACAAGATGCTCCAAATGTTGCATTGGACACCCTTGTGGTGTTAAAGGAGCCGAATCAGCCGCCAAGCAAGTGGCTGTTGGGAGAGTTATTGAGGTTCATCCTGGCCAGGATCAGAGGGTTCGTGTGGCCACAGTTAAAACTGCCAGAGGAATTTACAAGCGCCCCATTACAAAAATTGCTGTGCTTCCTTTGAACTGAACCGTCGTTCAGGGGGGCCGGTATGTTGAGGAATTAATCGGTCGTTAATTATTACTTCTTTACTTGTTCTTATTTTGCATATCATCGTACCTAGTTTACTGAACATAATTGTCTTGTTTACAACATAAAGCTTTAAGCTCACACTCATAGCCAAAATGCAGTATATGTGCATGAGTATTGGGACATCACGCGATCTTATTTTTCTTCTGCACGTTTCTATTTTTCGCCAGTTAGATCTAGTTGGAATTTACCCGCAACCGCTCGCTTATCGCACCCGCTTATAAAACTTATTCTAAGACGCTACATAAATTAATAAACATAAAACACCTAAGACAAAAATAATACAGTCCACTGCATTTATAAACAGTAACAATAGTTAAACATGTATTTGGCAAAGCATTGCAAATTGCACTAAATTTTTATAATCCTCCCCTTACAGAAAGATGCCCTTAGAATAATTGTAACATTAATTATAGATGCACCCTACGCTTTTAACTCTGAATTTAGTGTTCTTGTTTTTAATTATATACTATTGCTCTGAATTATAATTATTTTTTTTTTTTTTTTGTAATTATAAATTATTTTCTTTTTTTAGTTCGGTTATTTATAAAGGTGTGTTTTTTTTAGTTTTTTTAAACTATTATTTTTTATATATATAGATTATACCTTTTAGATATAGAAGAATAATGCAAATCTGTGAATGTAAAACTGTCAAACTAAATATATCATGATTAGGTGAATGAAATAAATGCAGTTCATTGTTTTTTTTAACGTAAATATATATCATTTATATTGTTTCGATTCCTAGTAATCGAAGTTATATTTTTCGAACTCCACATATTGGCGGAACGTCTTCGAAGCGCTTTCGTCGGTGGATTCCTTCATATTGTGATCAAGAGTGAGACATGGGTATAAGAAAAAACAGGGCATAAATCTATAAAAATTAAACTAATAAGTCGTAATATTGCCCATAGTATTTGCCATTTGCCCCATAGTACCCCTTCGTGCGATGCTTTAGCATAAGCTAAGCTAAAACCCAAAGCTAAAGCTAGCGCACGAGCGTTCATCCGTTCCCCTCGCACAGAGTCGGATTGAGCGGAACTGAAAGCTTGCTCCCAAAAATAACTCTGTTTTTCTTTGTCGTTAAATGTTCGCCGGTCATGCTTGCAATTCTTTGCGACTGCTGATCGCCAAACTTTGTTGTTGGCCAGATGCAGGAGGGCAAGATCACCACCCCACTAGCCGATGAGAAGCAGCCGGATATTTCCGCGTGCGCCCCCCTCGCATTTTAATAACACCAAAGCCGCGTTATATAATTCGTTGAAGAGGGGACTCCTTAACAGCGTTGCAAGCTTCTGACTGGAATTACATTACCCCGCAAGGGAATCAATCAATTTGCAAACGGCTAGGCTATAAATATTTTGGCTTCCCAAAGCTAGGTTTTGTTTTTTATATTAAATGTTGCAACTCTGAAGGATTCCGATTTTTTATTTCTTGATTCATATAACCTAACATTGAATTGAGTAAATTTTAAAAGAAAATTGGAAAATATAAGCAAAAGATATATTTTGTTATTAATCGTCACCACCAGTCATTACTTCCATGAATTCTATAAAGTAAGAAAGTTAGATTTTGATAATTTTTATAAAAGGAATAGTTTATTATTACCATCAAAATCTACGGTTCCGGATCCATCTGAATCAATTTCTTCAATCATCATGTCTAAATCGTCGTTTGTGAGTTTATCATCGAGTTCTCGAAGAATTTCACGAAGTACACCTGTGGTGATGTAACCATTTCCTTCTTTGTCATAAAGGCGAAAGGCTTCTTTCAATTCAGCCATCATGGCTTCCGCGTCCTCTTCAACTAAAAACCGAGCAGCCAATGTGGTAAATTCTTCAAATTCAATTTGACCGGATCCATCTTCATCGACTTCAGCGATAATATCAGCCAGAGTAGCATCATCTAGTTGGTGTCCCAACATACTAAGAATAGTACCCACCATTGCTGTATTTATGTATCCATTTTTTTCTGGATCAAACGCATTAAATGCGTTACGCAGCACTGCACGAAAAATTAAATTATAATTACCTTTGGTCAAAATAAATCCAATAAACCTTAGTCATAACTTACATGCAGTTTGCTCCTTGGTCAATTCGTCCTTTAAATATAAAAATTAAATAAGTAAAAAGGGTCAAAGTAGTTCTAATAGATCTAAATTAAAGTAAGCCTTAAAAAATTACATAATACATACATAACCAAACATTTATACCTACATATTTGGCTCGAGATCAAGATGGAATTAAACCAACGTTTCGATATCAGATTCAGTTAGCAGATTGTGATGAAAAGAAAACCTACATTCATACAAATTTTAACCTGAAATCGCCATTAAAAAGCCATTTTTCGCCCGTAGATTTAGAAATTCGCCTCTAAAATGGATCCAAAGGCAAGTCACCCTAAACTTGAGAAAAATTGTCCTAAAATCAGGAAGAAACTTCCTCAAAGCTAAGGCGATTTTTCTTATATGTAGAAAAATATATTGTTTTTAGGGCGATTTACTCTAAAGATGGGAATTTTGTTCTTAAATTAAAGGTAAATTTGTCTTACATTAAGAAAGATTTTTCTTAGTTTTAGGGTTATTTGATATTAAAATGAGTTTTTTTTTTTTTTTTTTTTGAATTCAAGGTGTTTTTTCTTTATTTAAGAAGAAATATAATTAATTTGTTGGCTGAATTCACAATTTGAAGTCTAGTGTAGTTAGTTTAGGGCGAAGGCGAGAGCGCAATAAAGCTCTCTCGCGCTCTTCGCGAATTCGCCTCGCCTTCGCCAACCTTAGATAAGCTAGGCTAAGCATATGAAATAGATTGATTCGCATGTTAAACTCGAAGCGACGCACCACTCTTTTTTTCGTTCGCCAAAAGTCTGCCACCACAACTCGGTTTTTTTCGTAATTTAATTTTTTAGTTTTTCTAATAAACTAATTAGAAAATTCATGGCGCCCCCGGGTGGAGTGGTTAAATTTTTCGATAACTGGAATGCTGGCATCTTTATGAACCAAAGTTTCGAAGAGGCTAATACAATTTTTAAATTCCGAATAATTTCCACTAAATTTTGGCAGCACCAACTCGTGCGCGACTTCCGAATTTGGCATTGCCAAAATTTAGTGGAAATTATTCGGAATTTAAAAATTTTATTAGCCTCTTCGAAACTTTGGTTCATAAAGATGCCAGCATTCCAGTTATCGAAAAATTTAACCACTTAATTTCATGTCTCTCTGGTGAAGCTTTAGGAACAATTAAAGCTTACCAAGTCACCGAGAGTAATTACGAAAAGGCGATGGCCAGTTTAAAAAAGGTTTACGATAACGAATGCCTCATCTTTATGAATAATATTTCAACATTGTTTAGTCTTCCAAAAATATCGCATCAATCCGCATCCTCCTTGAGAAATCTTATCGACACTGTTTCGTCGATTTACGGTTCTCTGCTATCGATAGGAGATGATACAAAAATTTCAAACGCAATGTTGATATATTTGGTATTAAATAGAGTCGATCCAGTGACCAAACAAAAATGGGAGGAACAGCTCGATTATGAGACATTGCCACTTTGGTCCGATTGTGAAAAAATGTTAAATCGCCGATACCAGCATTTATCGGCTGAAGAATCAACAAAACCAAAGCTGGAAAAATTACCGTCAAGCAAACCACATAATCGAAGCTCATTTTCGTGTTCCTCCTCCAACAGCAAGCCTCAGCAAACTTGTAGCTATTGCAATGCAGAAGATCATTCACTACAGAATTGCAGCCCGTTTGGGCGTCTCTCTGTAATGCAAAGGTTCGAGTTTGTTAAGTCAGCCTCCTTATGCATCAATTGTCTGCGAAAAGGCCATACTGTGTCAAAATGCAAGGGAAAAAAGTGTAGAGCTTGTGACCGCTCACATCACATTCTGCTCCACAGATACACAGTGCCTGATAAAAGTTTAGCGTTGCCACCCCTTCAAGAGAATATTTCTCCTCCTTTTAACCAAGAGCATCCTTCCACGTCACATGTTATGCATGCTACGTCATTGGACAGGGTAATCTTGGCTACGTCAATCGTAAGCGTGCGCACCAAAAGCGGCGAATACGTTTTAGCCCGAGCACTTCTGGACTCTGGGTCTCAAACGAATTTCATAACGGAAAAATTAGCGAACCGCTTACAGATTCGTAGAGAGGAGTCGTGTATCAACTTACTTGGTATTGGCGAATCCAATTCTCAAGTCAAGAAAAAGATACACACCGTGGTGAAGTCACAAATCAATGGGAGTGAGTTCTCGTTCGATTTCTGGATTTTAAAATCGATCACCGGTTATCACCCCGATCAATCGGTGAACGTTAGCGATTGGAAGATCCCAAAGAACCTCCCATTAGCAGACCCCTACTTTTACAAGTCACAAAAAATTGATATGCTAATCGGAGCCGAATCATTTTTCGAATTGCTAGCTGTTGGTCAAATTAAACAAGGTCCTGACTATCCAACTCTTCAAAAGACCCTTCTTGGTTGGGTTGTCTCGGGGAGATATAAATCTGCAGCCCCGAAGCAAGTTGTGAATAGTTTCAGTTGTAGTGAAGAATCGTTAGTGTCGATTGACACCACGCTACAGAAATTTTGGTCACTGGAGAAAATGCCAAATCCAAAGAAAATTCTGTCGCCTGAGCACAAATTATGTGAAGAGTACTACAGGAAGACTACTCAGGTATTGCCATCAGGTCGGTTTGAAGTAAGGCTGCCGTTTAAATCTGACCCTAAGGGGTTAGGCAATTCTTTTGATGTTGCAAAACGGCGGTTTTTGTCGCTTGAGAGAAGGTTGTCTCGAGATCCTGACATAAAGACCATGTATTTGGAATTTATGGAAGAATATCTCGCCTTAGGTCATATGTCGCCTACAGACAACAAAATTCCTTCCACTCCACATTATGTCATTCCCCATCAATGTGTGTTGAGGCCCCAAAGTACGTCAACAAAGTTGCGCGTTGTTTTCGATGCATCGTGCAAAACATCGACTCAGGTGGCCTTAAATGACATCTTGATGGTGGGACCGACAATCCAAGAAGAGTTGTACTCCACTCTACTCCGCTTCCGGCTGCACAGGTATGCCCTGACTGCCGATGTAAAAAAGATGTATCGCCAAGTGATGGTTAACGAAGCGGATAGGCAGTTTCAACTCATAGTGTGGAGAAGAGACCCCTCTGAATCCTTGAGATTATATGAGCTCAACACCGTTACATATGGTACTGGACCAGCCCCTTTTCTTGCTATTCGGTGTTTAAAAAGGTTGAGTGAATCTGCGAAACTTTCATTCCCTAGAGCTGCCGACGTAATTGGATCCGATTTTTACGTCGATGACATGCTAACTGGTGCTGCATGCGTAGAGGAGCTACGGACAATCAAGTCTGAAGTGTCTCAGGTTCTTCAAACAGCAGGTTTTGAATTGACAAAGTGGTTTTCAAACTCACCTGAGGTCACTGCATCTGAGAGCACAGTTAAGTCGATACCTATCTCGGACTCAGAGTCAACTAAGGCGTTAGGAATATCTTGGTTGCCTAGCGAAGATGCCTTCAAATTTAAAATTGACGATTCTGTCATGGGTCTCCGAGCGACAAAACGGAACATTTTATCGGTGACATCCAAGCTGTTTGACCCCCTCGGCTTATTAAGTCCCATTGTAATAAAAGGAAAGATCCTACTGCAGGAACTGTGGCTTAAGAAGTTAGACTGGGATGAGTCAATTCCGCTGAATTTAGAAACTGCATGGAATATGCTAAAAAACACCTTGTCGCAATTGGATAAGATAGCTATTCCTCGGTTTGTGCATACTGATCCGATGTCACCGGTGCAATTACATGCCTTTGCCGACGCATCCATGAGAGCTTATGGAGCTTGCGTCTACGTTCGTAGCAAATCTGCTGAAGGTTACAAAATATCGTTGTTGACTTCAAAGTCGAAAGTAGCGCCGCTCAAGACAAAAACGCTCCCAAGGCTTGAGTTATGTGCCGCTCACCTTCTCGCAGATCTCTGCCAGAGAATCAAACCGCTAATAAACGTCCCTATCGAGCGAATCGTTTACTGGTCGGATTCGGAAGTCACTCTCCATTGGATCCGATCTCATCCATCGTCGTTGTCGGCATTCGTTTCGAACAGGGTTGCAGAGATTCAAGAATGGTCAGGACAGGCTACATGGCGGCATGTTCCAACGAAGCAGAACCCAGCAGATATAGTGTCTAGAGGTTGTGACGTCGACGAAATTGGACAGTCGATCTGGTTCACGGGGCCTCAATTTCTGAAGGACGAGGAGGAGAACTGGCCCAAAAATGTTCATTTCGAACCGGATGAGGAAGTCTTGCGGCAGGAATCAAGAAAGACTGTGGTCGGACTGACCGCTGCGGTGCAAACTTCCGATTTGCTGGACGTCATCGAGGGATTCTCGTCACACCTGAAACTGCTGAGAGTGTTCGCTTATATGTTCCGCTTTATAAGAAAATGTAAAGACAAGAGTATAGTTTTCGAAAAAACTCTGTCACCGACTGAATATACTGAAGCATTTAACAAGATCGTCGAAATAATTCAGAATCACGAGTATCAAGTAAAAATAGTAAAAATTCGTAAAGGTTCCAAGGTCGGCCCAAGTCTTCAGCGATTGAACCCATTCATCCATGAAGACACCGGCACTTGGTGCAATTTTTCGTTGTTGCGAGTTGGGGGGCGACTAGCAAACGCTCCTATATCCTACGATGCCAAGTTTCCCTTGCTGTTGACGAAACGCTCCCAATTTGTGCAGAGCTACGTCCGGCATCTGCACCACACAAATTTTCATGTCGGTCCTCGAGCACTTGTGAGCATCCTACGACAGCGTATTTGGACCATAAACGCTCAGGAACTCTGCAGTCAGACAGTTCGATCATGTGTGCGCTGTTTTAAATACAAGCCCCGACTGATGACTCAAATTATGGGAAATCTTCCCGCAGAAAGACTCCGTGCTCTCCGCCCATTTGCAATATGTGGCGTTGATTTTTGTGGCCCTGTCTATACGACATTGAAAATACGAGGAAGGCCCCCATATAAGTCCTACATTGCCTTATTTGTTTGTTTTGCGTCCAAGGCGGTTCATTTAGAAATT